CCTGCGGGTGCATTGGGCCAAAACGTGAGTAAAACCCGGCTCACTGCGCGCATTTATTTGGCAGCGTAAGGTCTGCGCGAGATCACGAGATCCATGCGTGTGTGCTACGGCTTCGACGCAGGTCCTCACGCTGCATCATCTACTGCGTCCAATCCTATCACCCGTTGTTTGACATGAACGGACCGTCGGCCGACGCATAGTGGAGAAAAGAGAGAATGATGCCGACAGTGCGTAGTCCATCCGTTTGAAGCATCTGTGTATTCCTCGTCACCTGACATGCGCCAGTCTGCCACGCTGCGCTAAGGGTCACGGTTTGGTGGGTTGCCACTTGACGGGAAGACCTAATCTTTCTCAGGGTTGAGAACTACTCGGCCACGGCTCCCCCGTTTTGTGGAATTTGTGGTACATTTGCTCAAATAAAAGGAGGCAGCATTTGCAGAAGCCTATTAAGCTTAGTGGGGACCAGGTTGTGTGTTGAATGATTAAACTGACTGTTTAGTTTTATCAATCGTTGTGAAGGAGTCCCCTCCTGTCCTCTAACATAGTTTTCTCATTGGATCAAAGTGGGTGGCAAGGTCGAACTATTGTTCCAGTGCGGAACACTAATTAATTTAACCTACCGAATTAAAGTAAGTAGCAAGTCAGAAAATGAATTGGCGAACATGCGTTTGTTTTCGATAATTCTCATCAGGCCTTTACATTTACATTTATAAATACGTTTAAATTTACATTTATAAGTAAATAAACTATGCGGCTTGGTATAAAAATAGTATGGTTGTCAGGGGAGGGAGAAAGGGGGGGTCGGGGTCAAAATCTGATCAGCGCTCGGGGGAACTGGAAGTCGGCCGAAGTTTTAAGCTGCTGGCTGTTGGATTAGCGGTTTTTGCCCATGGTAACTGCGTCGCCACGACGAAGTTCTTTTGGGCCTACAGGACCGGTTGGCGAAGGACCGGTTAGCGAATATTCATCATGGTCTCATTTCGAGGGGACGGACCAAGCGAACTTCTAAGGAGGCGCCTGAGTCAAGCTGTAGCAACCGCCATCCCAGCAGCCAACGCCCATGTACTGTTCTCGACTACTCCTATCATATACGGAGAAATCAAGGACAAATTGCCAGCCCAGGCCACCTCTATGTGCATATATTCATTTACCTTTTCCTGTGGGGCGGGATATATTGGTCACACGAGCCGGTGTTTATCCCAAAGTGTTTGAGAACACATTCCAGCATGGTTGGGAAAGGGCCAACTAAAGGGGTTAAATAGTTCCGTTCTAGCGCACCTGGTAGACTCAGATCATGGTGTGGATGCCAAAGAGGCCTTCCGAGTGATCTACTAGGTACCTTCAAACTATTCAAAATTTCTTGGACAGCGTCTGTTTGCTACGGCAGAAGCGGCCGCCAAACAGTCCTGTGCGCCCAAAAGAACTTCGTCGTGGCGACGCAGTTTCCGTGGGCAAAAGCCGCTAATCCAACAGCCAGGAGCTTGACACCTCGGCCGACTACCAGTCTCTCCGAGCGC